TTATTAGTACTAGTATCGCCCAGTTGTCGAAATTCGACATTTTTTCATACACTTTTAAATTTTGCTTATCACCAATATCCTCCTCCTTTATGCTAATGACGATTTTGAAGTCCCCCACCAAAATTTATAGGAAAACTTAAATCCAAATTTCTTAGTAGCTTTCGAAATTATACCGAGAAAGGAACCCCAATTTTCATTTACAAAAAATATGCATATGTACATATGTATTTGTATGTATAGATGAGATGCCTAACGGCTCTTCATTGACTATTATGTTAAACAAATACCAATCCATACTGTAAATAAATTTTTCGATTATATTGGTCTGAGAACCCCTTGGAACATAAAAACTAAATTGCCAATATCTGCATAAACTCCTCATCCTTTTCATCAGAATCGCTGGAGTTTAAGTACCTCGAAGGTGTAAAACAAAATATAATATTTCGTTCTCTAGCCGCGGTTTTACAGGTTTTTTGTCAAGATTGCGCCTAAAGCCCAATATTTTTGCATCACATGATTGAGTTACCGAATTGCACCAAATTTTATGTTGCTATTGTGTGTTCTAAAGATGAAGCAAATCTAACCATACATTTTAAGAATAGCTCTCAATTATAGATGGGTACCGAATATCGGGACCCACGGTACTGATTCAAGATGGGCGGTGTCGGGAAGGTCTGTAAAAATTTAACGCACGGAACTGGATCAAAATTCTTTCCCGATACTCCCGACAAAACCGCAAATTCAGAAAATCTTCCTTAAAATATTTTTATAAAATATGCACTTTTTATATTTTATTGAGACGAAAACGAACAGCAAAGCAAAACAAAATACCTACCTTTTTACAAAAGCAAAATGAGTCTTTTCCTTTTTCGAAATTAATATCAAACTGGCCTAGTTTGGAAATATTTTCTGTATTAGCCGATAATCTGGTACGTTCATCTAAATGCAAAAATAGCTGCTGTAAAATTTTGTTGGGTTTTTTAATATTTTTTTAATTGTATATGGTTTTCAAACCTGTATGCTGAGAATGAGTCCAAAGGTCCAAACACATGCAGACAAATGGAGTAACCCATGAATATTAAAACTAACTAATTCGTCACCGTATAAACTACCAAAATAGACAACAAAATCTTCCAGAATTTGTTGAGCGATGTTAGCCTCAACCTTAGATGACTTTTGCCTAGAAAGAAGCCGAATTCCGCAATGTTAAAGTAAAAAATGATAATATAAATCCATATTAATGCTATCCTTCAAGATAAATACTCCCGTGTAAAGCAAAAACTGCCTAAATTCAGACGACGTCCAATTATTTATTTCATCTAAGGTCCTAGATATACGCCCGAATTTAGAAGGAATGTAATTTGCAACTAAAGTTAGTTTTTCATTAATTTTTTTTATATCCTCCTTTTTTATAAGTAGCTTTAATAACTTTTTTACAACGTCAAGGTCAACTAAATGCATGCTGTCAAGTGGAAATTGGGTAACCATATTAAAATTAAATGTTTCTAGTACACCTTTTTGCTCTCTGAACTGAAGGATGTGGTGCGCAGGATCAAGCCTGGCTTCAAAGGAAAAATCTGACCTGCTAATACCAACTTCTTTTGAAAAGCGAACCCTTTTCTCTCTATATGTACCTACCTGACAGCATTTGGGGCAGCCACTTTTTGCGTTAAAGGATATACAACCTGAAACAAATGCTCTAGCGGGTGAATCGCAAATAAATGCGCGAACGTCAAATTTTCTCATAATTTGATTACCACCAACCTTAATGCCATTTTCTCTCCGCGTTTGGACTTTTTCACAAAAATCGGACAAAAAATCATCTACATTCTCCGGCTTATTTAACCCAGAAAAACAGCTAATTACAGATGGACTGATATTAGGGAAATCTACTAGTCCTCCTAGAATGGGCCACAGAACTCTATTAGAACTGTTGAATAACTTCAGACCATCAATGCTTACGTCGATTAAAACTTCTTCCTGATTTTCCAAAAAATCAAATGAACTGAAAAGAAAATGCTTTTGAATGCCTATATACAAGAATTCTCCATTCGGTATAGTTCGAAGTGGAATTTTAGAACGGCTGGTATTCAAGAGAGTTTTCGCGGAAAGCGGAAAATAGGTCTAAAACGTTGTGAGCAGTTTTGTTTCTAATAGCCCAAGATCTCAGCTCCGCACTTTTATCTATGTCCGGAACCAAACTTTCCTCATCAGGAATCATAGCCGACTCTATGCATTGCTCAGTGCTGGATACACTTGGACCACTGGGCGCGATTTCACATGACCCTATCTTATTACTGTCAAAACTCGCTTCACTTAAAGCCGCATATTCTACGTCTACACCACGATGCAGCGAACAAAGGTGGCACCGTCAGTGGTACCGCTACTTTGGTTTTGCCGATTTTGACAGTTGTGGTAACTTGTAGATAAACCTTTGTTTACAAATCAGCGAAAGAGAAATTTTAATTATAAGTGAAAAATCAGTTTAAATTGTGTTAATTTTCAATTTGTGAGTGATTTTTGAGTTGAGGACAGCGTAAAAACTAATACAATGAAGTGCTGTGTGTTAAATTGCGACAGCCGTCAAGGTGCAAGAAGCGTAGATGCAAGTGTAGCGCTGGGACGAATCGCTGCATTTTGTGTACATAGGGCACGGCAAAGCCGTTCCCGAAATGTTTCTCTATTATTATATTAACAGCATTTCCTCACAATGATTTTGTTTCTGCTCCACGCAGCCTCCATTAGCAAGTTAAATAATCAATCCCGCAGAGATGCTGCTGCAGTTTTCTGCAGCAGCCTTAATTGCAAAGCAATGGAGTGCACTAAAATGTTCACTGTTCTCTAATAGATTAGGTGAAAAATGCAATATTTTCACATTTAGCAAAATTAAAACA